AGGAGTACCACGTCAAGCTCCCCAGCCCACACTCTAATCTCTCAAACTCCTATTTCCCCAACTGAAATGGGTGGCCAACCTTTGTACTAATGTTGGCCGTGCTTATCAGGGTATCTTAATTGATTCTTGATACAAACACAACCATTTGGTTCCTCGATCTGGCTTTTCTGCTGTGTTGCCCTCAGAGTAGGTGAGAGGAAGGAAATTAAGGAAAGGAGTGACTTGCTCTTTTTTAATGTAACTACCACAGAAGAACGCAGTGATTACCTTGGTGTGACCACGATCGATTGGTGGCAGTGCTCAGTGCTGGCCCAATCGACTGAGAGCTGTGGGGTCACCCATGCTCCAGATCTTGTTTCTAGTGGCGTTTGATGTTAGCTCCTGTGGAGGAAGGAAGAACCCAAATAATAAAAGCTGCTTAATAACTTGATCCCAGAGACGGTTTTGTGATTTTGTTAAATACAAGACCATCTTATGGAGGCTGTGCGTAAGCATATAGGTTAGCAAGGATTAGCAGGAAGATTAGGTCTTTGTATGCAGCCTTTCTTCAGCTTCTTTGTTCTCAGTCCTTGGCTTCAGTGTTGTCTTGTACTCCACAGACCTGTTCAATTCAGTGCAAGCATGGTTGCTTCACATGGGGCTGCAAAGAGGCAGCATAGTATTTTTCTAATCAAGCAAGCAAACAAAATATACAGGGAAACATCTGTTAGTGCTTGTGTGTGTTTGCATGAGTGAGAAAGAGAAACAGCAGGGCAAACTAACAGACTGGTGCAGGTGAGACAAGTGCATCAGAAACCAAAGCCAGATCCCCCAGGGGTGTTGGGAGTCATGGGAAAAGGGATTCTTCCTTGTTCCCTCCCTCCCTGTCCCTCTTTGCCCTATGCTTAGTGCAGAGACTTTTGGCAGTTGTTGCATCAAAAGCCGATCTCCCTTTGGGATTGTCTGCTTGCAAGCAAACAGCACCAAGAAGAATGGGCAATGTTGTTGTGAGCTCGCCAGCACTCCGAAACCACGTAGGAGCCCTCGGAGAGCAGAGCCACAGGAAGGGAGTGCCTCGCCATCACCTGCCTCTCCGCTCGGCACCTTCCAAATCCAACCATTGTTCCCACCATGCACCACAGAGCTTCTACAAAAGAGTTTCCCTCCATGGCAACAGGCACAATGACCCAGGTCCAGGGTGGTTTTCTTCATCCTGGATAATATTTTAGAGAGTTGTAGTTCTCCAACTCTCAGGGAAACTCCACTCTACTGCAGGTTCCTGTTCCACTAGCAGCTGGTTTCTCCATGGCCCAGAACAGCAGCAATGAGATCTCTGACTTCTGACATTCACCAAGAGTTGTAGGAAGAGGGTATGTGGCTACTTCAGCCTGCTCTGCCCTTCTTCAGTGCTCCATCCATTTCCCTGATACTTTTCTGCCCTTTCTATGAGGGTAAAGAAAAATCTTACATATGTCCTAGCAGGTTATATTAGGGTTGAATTAGGCTTTTAGGAACCAGAAGAATATCTGTTTGGCTAGGTTCCTTTCCTTGGGGAGAATGTGTGATCTTTTCCACCATAGAAAATGAAGGGGTGAGAGAGTCTGAGAAAACAGAAATAGTATTAAAAGTCTCCCACTTCCTTTCTTCACACTGCTATTACCATCATGAAGCCTTGTAACACATATCACTGGAGATGCAGTGCCCGCAGTTAAATGCGCAAGGATAGCCTTTGAGGAGACCATTGAGTTACATTTTGCTCATGCAAAATCTGTTTTGGTAATCTAGACTGACTTTTCTTCCCAACAGAGATTGCAAAGAGAGAAAGGTCCTAAGAATATCAATGACACTCTCAAGGAATTGTTTGGGATCATTCCTGGGGATGGGGATCCACTACAGGAACGAGACATCTTCGCCTGCAGGCGATGCGCTGTTGTGGGAAACTCTGGCAACCTTCGGCAGTCTCAGTACGGCCACGACATTGACTCCAATGACTTTGTGCTCAGGTAAGTATGTACCGCCAGCCCACGTTGTTTAAGAAACGTCAGTATTTTGGAGGGACAAGTGAGCATACAAGATTTTAGGGGCTATCTATTAGTGAAATTTGGTACTTAGGTCCAGTCTAAGCACCGGGGAGGTAAGCATGAGTTAGAAGAGACTTCTAGATCACAGAATCACAGAATGGTTGAAGTTGGAAGGGACCTCTAGAGATCATCTAGTTCAACCCCCTTGTTCAAGCAGGGACATCTAAAGCATGTTGCACAGGGTCACATCCAGGTGGGTTTTGAAATAGGGGAGAAATGAGGAGACAGTTGGATGGCTGCAGCAATTTTATAAAGGCTATAACTGCTTCATTGCTTCTTAGGGCAATGAAGGGGAGATATTTTGTCCCACTGAAATCACAAGATGGGGTTCATTTAGGCAGAGCTAAGCACACCGAGGGCACCCAATATGTCTGGGTCAAATAAATCTATCTTTGCAAAGCTGTCAGAGGAACTTTACCCTGTAGCCAGCATTTGCCAGGTTTCACACCATAGTTGTACAGCAAAACTCAGGGAGTGATTTGGAACAGGCCAGATAATCCGAAAGGGAAGGACTGATACTGAAAACACAGTATCTGCGATTGTCGTGTCAGAAGCGATTTGATAAACTTCAGCAACAACCTGTCCATGGAAATTGACAGTGAGTCAAAAAAAAATCATCTCTAACTGAATGGTTAAGCCCCATTGTGCCACTGAGCTTCCGGGGTGGCTTTAGGTGACACCTGAATGTTCACACTGAACTAATTTAAGGAGTTGTCCCCATCGGTTGCTTCCCTACCTGTGGCCAAAGGTACATCTCCAAAAGCAGAGGCAGCCGACACGCTCTTAGATCCGCCTGGGCTGCTGCAGCTCTCGGCACGAAGGCTCCTGCACTCACACGAAGAGGGCAGCCTTGTACGTTAATGCTGCAAGTTGTAAGGAAGGCAGCTGAAGAACATCTGTGCTTTACCTGCCTTGTCTAAACTTCAGGTCTCGTACAGAAAAGTCTCACTAGATTAAAAGGATATTTTTGAATGGTAAATTAAGAGCAACACATTCAGAGTACAACAGTACAACAGTACAATTAAGAGCAACACACTCAGATGTTTGTTTCAGTTCAATGGCCTTACCCTTGCCACAGCCATGCATCCTTGAACAGGGAGAAATCCCTGTTCCATATTCGATTTGCAATCAGATCTTTCTCTGATCACTAGTTTAGCAATCTTTTGAGCTTTCTCTGCTCAAGCTAGGTCTGAAGAGACGGCACGAGATTTTTAAATTTTACTGTGGAAGCTTGTGCAGAAGAAGGTTACCCTCCTGCCTGTTACTCTAACAACAAAGTCTTTCATGACCTTAAGTTTACTTCCTTGTGCTTTGGCAGTGCAGCCAAGCGTGGTAAGAGCCAGGGAGTCAGAGGTGATATCTTCTGTTGCAAACACAACATTTCAGACTAGTTTTATTTATTTAACCACCCATTTGCATGACTGAAGTAACTCACAGTCTTTCTGCTCAGACTATGGGTGCACAATGCTTTCCACCATGCCGTGCTGCCGTGCCAAGGGTGGGGAAGGTACAGACCCGAGGGCAGGGAGTGAGGCTGTAACTAAGATGTCACCTTTGTCTTTTTGTCTTCACAAATTAGGTGATACCCTTCGTTTTTTTACCATAGGCTGACTAATCTCAAGACAACAACATAGTGAATACTATGCCCTTTAGAGTATTTCTACACTGAACAATGCAGATCTCTGAAGATGTCAGAGAAAAAGCTAACTCAATAAAAAGTCCTTGCAGGGTGGCAGGCTAATAATTGCCCTTTAGGGAGGAAAATTAAATTCACTTGGGGGAGCAGTGCGATATTGTAGCCAGGAGATACTACCTCCTTTGTTATCAGTAGCTTGCATATTGTCTGGCAATATGTGATGTTTCTCCTCGTCTCAACAACTGTATCCTTCCTTGAACTCCCCACGCTTCCGCTGGGACCTGAGCTAGTATCTCTGCAGGAGACCACTGGATTGCTGAGAAACCCTGTTTTGCTCAGAGCCAGTTTGATGGTTTCTCCAGTGGCCGACACATTTTGGTGGAGCCCTGAGCAGATCTTCCTGCATTGACCCTAGCATTGCTGAAAGACCATTCTGCTGGATCTAGTTGACATAAAAGCAGACTGCAGAGCTGATTTAGGAGTGACTTCTCATTTCCTTGGTAGATTTATCAATTTGGGGGGGCATATTATAAAGTAAGCCATGAGTAAATAAAGCATCAGTGCCAGAGCATGTGCTTGTCACCATGGCTTTGGTGCCTTTTCATGGAAGGGCTGTAAGGAATGTTTACTGTTTCTCATCGCACATGAGGCTGTTTATTACCTAGTCATTGAAATACATCTGCACAGACAGGGTGAGAATGAAATTGCAGGAGGTCTAGTTGATGAACTGCGGGGTACTATTTTTCTACCTACTAGGTGAAGCAATTTCAGGATAAAAGAATCATGTCCCTGTAGAGCCAGTCTCTATTGACCAGCTACCAAAGTGACCCAAGGACTTGCTCAGAGAAACACTTTCTTTGCAAACTTTCTCACTAAGTTGGAGGAATCCCATGGTAAAGCCTAGTTTTCATTCACACTCTATGGTGATGGTCATTTAGGCCTGCTTGAGGACCTCTACACCCTGACAAGTCTGCCTATAGCACTCTCCTTAACCAAGGTAGTTTTTTCCTGCCACCTCAAGCAACACATTCTTCCTACCTAATTTCTCTTCTGCTTTCTCAATCCCTCCCTTTTTTTTTTGGCCATAGAATGAATCGTGCCCCAACTGCTGGCTTTGAATCAGATGTTGGCAGCAAGACCACTCACCACTTTGTTTACCCCGAGAGCTACAAAGAGTTGGCAGAAAATGTGAGCATGATTGTGATCCCCTTCAAAACCCTGGACCTGCGCTGGGTTGTCACTGCTCTCACCACCGGCACCATCAACTTGTGAGTAATGGCAGCCTGCAGTGGGCTGGCAGAAGGGCTGACAGTCCATGCATCTCACATGACCACAGAAGAAAAGTCCACCCCAGGCTAATCCCAGCTTCTGAGAAAGGCTAAGGGAGTTTTACAAACCCTCTCAAAGCAGAATTTTACCTGAAAATTCGCTTTCTAGGAACAGTTTGATGTTAAGGTACAAGTGTTTGAGGTGGGGATCCAAATCCAGCTCTTCTTTGGCCCCACAAAATCTCACAAAATAAAGTAGGTGAAGTTAGTATGCCTGTAGCCAGCAGAAAACCATTAGCAAAATCAGTAGTTTGATGGGTTCAAGGGCAATTTTAGACACCCAGATTATCCCGCTCAAGACACTCTGAGTCGTGTACGAGAAGTCTTCCAACATATGTTATCCTATTTGCAGAAGATGACGTGGAGGCAGAGAGGGGTACTAGGGTTGCTCTCCTGAGACAGTGAAAGCTGAGGCAGGAAAAGGACCTCAGCACTTTGACCCTGTAGGATAGGACGGTGGTTCATCTTTCCTGATGGCAAAACAAGGATGCTGGTGAAACATTTATCCCTTCAGAAGGTGTCTGAGGGCTTCACACTTGCAGTGTCTCTCTGGCTAGAGCTATGCCCATCTACTAGAGAGCTCGCTCTGTGCTGAGGTATTACTTTTCTTGCTGGATGCAGTGCTAATAAAAGGAAGGCATTAACGTGAGAATTGCTCTCAGGCTGGAGAGCCCCTTCAAAGCCTTTTTCTTCTCCCTGTCAGGCTTAGCCTCTCATCCCTTCCCTTCTGCCTGCTTCAGAGAGCAAAGCCAGCATTGGAGTTATCCATCTTGTATTATTTTAATTTCCTGCTTGGAAATGGTCTTTCATTCAGGTGCTCTGGCACCAACCCATATCAGAGCTTAAATGTACAGGGGGAAATGTCCTTTGGAGATGGAGCTGGATTAGGTCTGTGGCTAACGGCCAGCTTGAGGAATGAGTGACCAAGGGAGCATTCAGGGTAAGTCACAGCAGAGAGGAGGAGAGAGGGAAGATGAAGCACTTGTAAGCATTGCCTGTGTTATTTGGATCCTTCCCAGGGGTCCAGATGCAGGAGGAGCAGCACTGTCTCCACCTTTCCTGGGAAAAGCAGGGTCTCCTCCTGGGACCTTGCGATGGAGGAGCATGGGAGGGAGGGAGCCAGGCCAGCGTGGTTTGCCCCTGAAGAAAGAGGGCAGAGGGACCATGCCTGCTTAGAGGAAACATCATAAACAGCATTCCATATGTTTGCTCAAAGCTTTGGCGCAGATTGCTGAGAAAACAAGATTTCTTTTTCCTGAAATAAAGGAAATCAGTGGGGAGAAAGTGAGGGAATGTGAGGGCAGTCAAATGACAAATGGAGGGCTGCACTGTTGACTTTTTCCTCTTCCTTTTTTCCTATTCTTTCCATGGTCTCTGCACTAGCCTGAGCTGAGCCAGGTGAAAGCCATGGACTTGGGTTGTCCTCCCCGGCAGTGGAGAGAGCTGCTGCCTGGAGTGATAAGTGAGCGGCTGCGAGGGGTAGCATGTGCCTATCCTTGCTTCATGTGCCTTTTGTGTGCCTTAGCCTCAGTTTGTCACATTTTACCTGGCAATAATGGGACACACTGATACTTAATTCCCCATTTCTTCTTTATGAGTGCTTTGGGACAAAACGCTGTCCTGCTAATACATTTTTGGCAGCACTTGTGTTTTGGTCCTATTTCTAATTCAAGTGCTGTTTCTTCTGGACACCCACTAGCAGATTCTCTCCCTTCCTCTGAGCTGGCTTTCCCTAATTCAGAGAATGAAATTTTTCGACATTTGTACTCTATATGAAGTTATCTGCCATGACCTTGTGGGACTGCTCAGGAGCACCCTACTTCCTGCTATTCGTATAAAGCAAAAGCATATCAGACTATTTTATTTCAGAGGAGAGTATTTCAAAACATTTCAACTTTTTTTTTCCCCCTAATTTCAAAGTCCCAGAAGACTAAAAGCTTGCAAAAATATGTCCCTATGATCTGGTGATTAGACTTGCTTCACATTTTTAATTCTGATGGGACAAACGATGGTCTTTTATTCCTTCTTCTGTTTGCAAAAACACTTTAGATCCTTTTCAAGTCTTAGTATATTAAGATTCTCTTAAACTGCAATAAATATGTTTTAGATTCTTTTTATTGCCTTTTCTTTTTTTTTGGCACCAGCACTTGGTACATCCACTTATCTTAAGAAATCCATCTTCAGGCAAGTTTAAAACACAGAAAAATCAGTCCACTTAGAAAATCAGCTAAAAAAATATCACTGACCTTTTTTGCAAGGTTTACGATTTTTCTTTGGCAAGCTCTATTGATAAAAGTGGCTGAGAAACTCTGCCCTTAAGCCTGGCTCCAAAACCTAACTAAATTCATGGGAAGCTCCTGGCTGCTTTATCGGGCTTTGAATCAAGCTCCTTGCTATGTCTTTGGCAAATCAGTGAGTTGAGTCTCTAGAGTTACTTGAGCTTCTGCCCCATGTGAAGAGGTTGTCCCTTCAGCAGCAGCTTTATTCTGATTGCCGGAGAACATAATGGGATTCCTTAATCTGCTTCGTTAACAAGGAGCGTTGAGCGAGGAATCAGTTATTTGCTGCTGGCAATTAATTGATAGTTTCCATGTATTACAATGCTTTGAAAACACCATCATCCCAGCAAACATTTACAACCAGCTGAAACCAGTTCAAATCATAGAATCATAGAATCATTATGCCAGGAAAAGACCATCAAGATCATTGAGTCCAACCATAAGGCCTTCAACACCATGTCCCTACACCTTACTACAGCCTCCTTTCAGGTAGTTTCTGGCTGCATGTTAAAGAGATGCAACATGGCTGGAAGGGTCACACTTTCAGGGGTGCAGAGCTCTTGCATGCAAGCTCCTGTGCCACTTAATGCATGATGATGCAAGTGATCCTCCTTTCATGTCACATCAGTGCCCCAAGCCCACTCCAGCCACCACAGCCTTTCAGAGGCATCTCACAGTGCCCACAGCATGGCCTTCTACACATGGTGGATAGAAGAGCCACAGAGGGATCCTTCCGCCAGGACCACCCATTCTTGTTTTGGTCACTGTCACTCTTCTGTGCAAAGCGGTTTGCTATGTTTTATGAGCACTTGGCTTTAGAAGTTGGTGCAAGCAGGTTGCAGCAGGAAAGCTGAGCAAGCCCTTAGTCCAGCTGGAAGGACAACCAGTTGCCTACAAGGCAATCACAAGAGCAGAGATCAGCACACACAGGGAAGACATTTTTGTTTAATAAGATATAGGGTTTGTATTTGCAATTACATGCTATCACATGGTTTTGATGAATATCTGTTCTAAAGCATTGTATAAGTATTTGACTGGAATAAATATTAGTATTTTAAGATTTCTGCTAAATTCAAAGCAGAGAAATTGCATAATTAGTAAGCTGGCTCATGTTGGAGTAATAAAAACAAAAAATCATAGGGACACTAATCATAACAATACATTTAACATGATTTTAGACTAATAGACTAAACCAATGAGCATGCATTAAGGAAACACAATGACATGCACAATATATAAGGAAATTGCTGTATATGTTTGTAAAGGAGAGGAGGGATCAAATAAAATCAAAACCCATCAGAGGCATCTCCCATTTGGTTGGGGGGATCTCCCATTTCAATGTGAATCTCTGGAGCATTGTCCCAGGAAATTCCTGAGGAAAGTTGGAGAAAAAAACTCCAAGCCATCATCACTCGTATATTCAATCTAGTTGCCATGGCAGGGAGATTCTGCAAGTCTGCTAGGAAGCACTGTAGTGGAAAAAACAAAAAATATATATTGCCACTTGTTTTGCCAAAGAGCAGTTTTTGTCTTCCTTAAAGTGCTTCATATGTTTGTCCTTGGTTAAGGGTACCGTAATGTCCTCGGCAAAACGGCCAGTGATTTGGCAGACTTTGCTAGAGCCCTGCCAAGTGACTCACTGGAGACATTTCCCACGTTATATGAAATCCACCTGCAGCCACCTTCATCGCAGGCTTCACTCCTTGTGTCACACCAGTGTGGTGCTAGCTCGCTGGCTGCTCTGCATGCCAGGTTTTATATGACCGTAATGTTGTAGCTCTCCATTTGGCCTTAAGCAATACGCCAGTACTTCTTGTGCAGTTGTACGAAATCCAACAACTAAGCAACAGCCGGATTTGGGTATTGCTTTGGGGAAAAGAAAAGGATTAAAATGACTAACATATCATCTGACCAAAGCCACAAAACTTTCTTTGTTGGATTAGAGCTATCTATAAATACTATCTTTAACATTGCGTATAATTCTCACTGGTTTTCTACTGCACCTGGCTAGTCGGCAATAAAGTATTCCTTTCTTTTTCTTCTTCCAGTAAATATTTCCTCCTTTTTCAAAGAGATCAGCTGTTTATTTTTAAGGTAGTGATAGGATTCTGCCAGGAAAAAAAAAAAAAGAAAAAAAAAAAAAAAGAAAAAACACTTTTGTCTTCCTAAGCACAAGAAGAATATGGAATCACCAAGCCTGCTTCTGCCAACTTTGCTACCCAAGGTCACGCATGGGAAGCAGATGCGAGGGCAGATTTGCTGAGGGCAAATGGAGAGGTCCGCAAGTGGTCCCTGTTTGTCCCCCTTTCCCATTAGTGCTGCCCACCCTAGCATGTGTCCCATGTCATATTCTGGTGACTGGGAAACCCCGTCACCTTTCCCACGCCTCCCTGCCCAGAGCAGGGATTGTATTTTCAGGGATGCTTAGGGGAAACAAGAACAGTGCTGGATCACCGTTGTTTTGGAGTGTATTAAATCTTAATGATAGGATCCTTCTTAGTACCAAAAATTGAGCTTAAATATTTAGATTGAACTAATGTAAGGCTCTGCTGGTTGCCCGTATGAATTAAAGACCTATCTAGAGAGCTTGCAGAATATGTGTGGGGACATAGGCCGGGTCACCGGTATTTTTGTACTTGAAACAAAGTCAGGGTGGTTTCCAAACACTACACATGTGACCAGCCATGCAATGCCAGCGTGCATTGTGCATGGGACGTGACAGAGAACAGCCTTTTTGTTTGTAAGATGTGGCTCGTGATTTCAACCCAGTCATAAGGTTTGTCTTGGTAGGAACTGCTGGCAACCTTCTGCTTCCCACCAGGCTTGACGGGAGGGCACGGCTTGCTGGTGAGGGGCCATGGACTGGGCATGCAGTGGTTTCACACGAGCATGGAAATCATGAGCTCTGCTACCACCTACTCTGAAAATCATGTATCAACCACAAGTATTGAAAGGGGAAAAGTCTCCCTCTGGTGGGAAACGGTTTTTCTGACATGGAATTTAATGGAAAGCTGTTCCTGTTTTTAAGTGCAAATAGCAGACTTACTGCAACTGATGGTCTCAGAATTAGAGTCTTGGGCTCTGTGTGATATTGACTGCATAATATATTACCAACTAAAGTCATAATGTCCTACTGTCAATAATTACCCTTAAAATTAAAAAAGTAACATCTCTGTATAAACTTTGCCTCAGTGAAAGCTCATTTTATCATCTCATTATATAATTGCAGTCACATTTTACAACAAATTATCTGATGCAGGGCTTTCTAGTCATTTGGGAATATTATTCAACATGAAAAATGCTTTTTGAAAAACTTGAAAATGATAATATGTTGTGCTTTCACTAATCCAAGTGGTTTTGTTTTGTTTCATTGTGTCCTTTTAACAGCACATATGTTCCAGTTCCAAGGAAAATCAAAGTCAAAAAAGAAAAGGTGAGCCATGCAGGTCTGGTAATTTGCTCTGCTGATCCAGCTGTAAATCTTTTGCCTCTTCGGTAGACTGCAAGCATCCAGGGGAGCCTTTCACATTCATGAGAAAGGCAAACAAAAACACACACATTCTTGACAAGGCTTAGCTATACTAAAAGTTTATTTCCTGGTGTGCCACTCCAGCCATAAGTCTGCCACTAAATAGCTGAGGCTGGAAAGAAGTGGCTCCTGTGACTATGTTATTGCTGAAAGTTGAATTTCTCCCTCGTGTACCTCTACAGGAGAGAGCAGGCGCTCTGCTGCCTAGCAGTGCTCGCTGCTCAATGTTGCAGCCACTGGGATGTACTGATATTTTGAGCTGTGGAAAGTTTTTGGAGATACTTTAAAAATAACTCCAAGCATGCTTCTTGCTCTTGGGTTGCTTTCTTACAGTCAGGAGCTAAGTGAGCACTGAACTATTAGAAAGACATGTATTTTTCAAGTGGAAGCTTGTGATGGTTTCAGTGACTCTTGGAGAAGGCTCATTGCCCACAAATGTACAACTGTGTGCACCAAACTGAACAATCCTGGGGTTTGGATTAAGCCAAGTCTTTGCTGCGTTTGACAGTCTGGTTCCTGGTACTGTTTTGTTCTAAAAGCATTGATGGTCTCCCATGCTAGGAACGTGGGACATTCAACAAATAGCAGGTAGCTAGCTCCCTGATTGCTAAAATTGCAGCCTGTTTGTAAATACATGCCTGAAAGCTGCATTTGCTGATCTCAAGGCATGTGGCCATCACTCTGATGGCCAGGCTTTGCCAAAGACTTCACATGAGACCTTTCAACTAGTATCACTTAATACTCCTACACCTCTCTTACGGGCTTCTATGGGATGCAAAATAATCACTTGTCTGGTTCCTACCTGTTGTGAGGGACACATTAACCCACATTAACCAAACCCTGTGAGATGCCCTCCAGCACATCTTGTTGCCCTCTTGTCGCCATTTAACCGCTAGCACCAGCCTAAGATATAGCCAGCAGCATGGAGCAGCATCCCAACCAGGCCAGCCCACTCGTACTTCATCCCACGCTGTGCAGCGCAAATGGCCCCATGAGAAGCGATGACACACAGATACAATATCAGCAATTAACCTCTGACTTCATAGAAAGGAAAGCCCTGCAGCTAGCCAGGCAGTGCTGATACGCTGCCACTCTAATGACAGACGCAGCATGGAGCAGCAAAGCCTCTCCTTGCCTGGTGCAGGAAAGGGGCCTGAAACCTGGAATTCCCGCCAGTTATTGGGTTCATTGTTCATGGTCCTGTACTTTCCCCACAAGATAATCAGATGAAATGTATATCTTGCAGAAAATAATATCTTGAAGAAGAATGTGCTTGGGAAAGAAAAGTGCAGCTGATACAACCTGATATACCTCATACCTGAACTCCAGGTTCCTCTAGACCTGTCCCTACAGAGAAACCAAGATATGGCTGGGATATTGCTCCTGCATTCTCACCCAAATCTAACTTTGTCATTTTACACTTCTTTCCCAAGGCCTCAGGCTCCCTATAGCCCACCCTTGTTGCAGCAGGATGCAGAGCGACAGTTCGGGCTGCTGCTTTTCACAGAAGCAGTTAAAAATGAATTCCTATTTTTATTCTCACTTGTGCCACCTCATACTCCTTGATTTCAATAGGGATCACACAGGATTCACACCAATGTAAGCAGGAAGAGTATCAAAGAGTATCATAGTCTTAAGGAGGAGTAATTATGTGTATTTTCACATGGGAAATGTTTCTGAATACATTTAACTGTGATTTTACATTTCCCTTGCACCTGCTCTCAGGGAATAGCTATCATTCCTGTCTCCTCACTATTATCCTGGTGTCCTTTAGGGATTAACTGTTACTGTTTTGTTTTGTTTTACTTCCCCAAGGCATTGTATTAATGAACTCATTTCTTTACTTTTTTCCTAGATCCTGATTTATAACCCAGCTTTTATCAAGTATGTCTATGAAAACTGGCTGCAGCGTCATGGAAGATACCCTTCCACAGGCCTTCTGTCGCTAATATTTGCACTCCACGTATGCGATGAGGTAAAGACAGGCTGGGCTTGAATACCTAGATAACACAGCAAGATATGTTTATTGCTGGGATACCAGGGTTGTGCCCAGGTCACTCGTTTACTCTTTATTGGCACAGATCCATGTTCTCTGCCATTTGCTTCTTAAGCCAGCTTGCAGAGATCTCAGTAACGTGCAGATGTGCCTAGTAATCACTGATTCATTCTTTGCCAGTAGCACTTCAGATATATTTCAGATAAATAAAATTAAATATAAAGGGTAGAATTACTTTGGTATTAAGATATCTAGCTATTTCCCTGAGCTTGCCATCTGCCTTCAGATGCCTGGCCAGGAGGCTATGGGTCTCTTGGTCCTGTGTGACATCTTCCCGCCTTGGGTAGATGTTTTGAATACCTCAGGGCATCTCAAATGACATTTATATCTGGGCAGTTGTGTTGAGCTGGTATCAATAAAGTCAGTGGAACTGAGGGACTGATTCAACAAACCACACCAACCCATCTGTAACATATTGAGGGAGCAACATCCTTCTCTGGAGAGTGCCCAGTCCATCTGGATAATTTCCATCAGGGTAACAAACCCTTAAACTTAATCCCACCTGAAGAACATTGGTTAACAACTCTATTTGGAAATGTTTATGGCCCATTTTCAAGTTCCTTTTAGTTTATACAGCAGGTTATGGTAAACCCTCCACTGCAGGAGTTACTTGAAGAAGTTCCCAGGGTCAGGGATGTGAGGTGCTCCTAGGTGATCAGCCTTAGCTAGTTAGCATAAGGCCAGGTCAGCTCTATAAAAGCCTGTTAGCAATGAGGATAAAATCATTATGCTGGCAAAATTCCTGTCCTGGAGACAGCTCTGCTGACTGCAGAGAGGTTTTGTTATCATGGCCTAGATTGGGTGGAGAGGTGATGGCACCATGCCAGTGGTAAAACTCCAAATTATGCTGGCAGAAATTGCCACAGTTAAGGAAGACAGAAAGGGCAGCCTGGGTGTTGCCTTGTTTCTGGCGAGCAGGCAGTGAGAAAGGCTTTGACACTACCAAAAATAATTTAAAGCCAGTTTGTGCTTGAGTGGGCCCAGGTGTGGATGGGCTGGGTGCTCCATTACCCATCCAGGTGCAGCCTTTAAATAAAGTCAGCTGAGGTATTCTGGCTTTTATCACCTGAAGAGACAGGCCTAGCCATTGATGAATGAACAGCTGGGAGAGGAGAGGCTATGGGTGTGTATCCACAGAAAGAGCATAGTACTCCTCTGCCTCTGGATCTCATGGAAGTGACTGTAGATGTCATGTAATTAAGCACCTAAAAGTGGCTCCACATAGGCTGTTATTTTGAAAACTAGGAGCAAGAGAAATATATTTTCACTCTTTATGGCCATAATCCATGGAAGAGGAGATCATCTTCCTACGATGCTGACCTTCTGAGGTCAGACATCATCCATAGGTGACAGGACCATGTGCTCCCTGTAAAGAGAGGTCGCGGATGGAAACTTCCTCTGCTGTCTGGGTCCAGGTATGGAGACTTGATGATGATCTCAGGATGGCTTAAGGTGCCCCTTGGGCAGGCCTGACCTCATTACTGTGTGGTTGCATCACCAAGTGGAGTGGAACAGTTTGACCCACCACTGAGGTTCTGCTGGCTGTGGATAAACTGAGAGTTTCTCCAGCATTTCTTCAAACCATAACAATAATTCTCTCTCACTTCCTAGGTGAATGTGTATGGTTTTGGAGCAGACAGCAGAGGACACTGGCATCACTACTGGGAAAACAACCCTTCGGCAGGGGCTTTCCGGAAAACAGGTGTCCATGATGGGGATTTTGAGTTCAATATTACTTTGACTCTTGCCTCCATTGAAAAAATAAATTTTTTTAAGGGCAGATGATGTTTACCGTGGGGAGAAATGGGGGCTGCAATTTCCAGCATGCAGCAGGACAGAATTTAGTGAAGAAGATCTGGAAGCCAACCAGGTTTAAGTGTCTGAATCGGTGGTGGATTTGGTGTGTCTCACTGCCGCAGTGGTCACTGCATGGAGCTCGTCCGAAGACAGGGTTCATGGCTGCACCTGATTTCCTTCTACAGATAGCTGGGACCTCCCAGTCAGTTCTGGGGATAAATGGTATGCAGAATCACTGCTTAGGCTCTACATCTTATTTCCTGAATTACTGACGAAAAATCCGCCTGTTAGAATCGAAGGAAACTTGGACACAGGAACTGCTATTTGTGTGTCCATTCTTTCCTTGAGTAAAACAGGAAATTTTTGAAGAAAAATACCTTCTGCGATCTGATACCCACTAGGGTAGCTGTGAACATCATAGTAAGGATTACCTCAAAGAAATGATTTCACTTCTGCTGTTGATCTTCTTTTTGAACCATCTCTTCAGTTTTCTCTCTTACTTCTGGGTTCATGCTGTATTAGGCAAGAATGTGATGATGTTGTTTGGAGTAGTAACTCTTCCTTCCAATGTCTCAGTCTTGATCATTGATATGATCAATCAGCATTGATAGGATCTGGAAATATGAATTGAATCCTCTCTGATCATGTATTATTTAATATTGCTTCCTATACAGCCATAATGAGAGGAGAAAACAATACTGAAAATTCCAGCAAAAAAGAAAAAAAGGCCTTTTTAGCTACTTGTTTGTTTGTCTTCTTTGGTTATATATGTATTTTTAATTTTTTTTGGTGGAAATACTCTGGAATGCTGATTTTTATTTAATCAATCCAGCTTAAGGTTGGGAAGTGGACTTTTTTTCTTTCAGTCGTTTACATGTGCCTTTTACAATTGTGCAAAGATGTGTTTTTTTTTAAGATGACAAACCCTAAATTAAACTTTTTTATAAAAGGGGGGAAAAATAACCAAAGTTTAGCCTCCATGTGGTATATTTTGTAGTCAAAACTAATAATAACTGTTCCTATATTGTACTTGAACAAATGCAAACAAGGCTAATTTTTGAAGGTAGCTTTTACCTTTTTTATGGGAAAATGCCCAAAAGTTCCAAGGATTTTTTTCCTCATATTTTTCTATAAATTTAGAAAGTGCTATCTCTTTACAAGGTCTCTATTTGAAATGGAAGAAGAAATCTCATGGGTGGCGATATAAAATAGTTAATATAACAGGAATATTTAGCACTGTAGCATCTACAAGGATGCACTCTACGCATGCTGATTCTGCAGTGTAAGCTAGTTTTCCAAATTCTGGGCATCTCTGAAGGTATGAGTATATTAATGTCAGTACCTGCAAGCAGTGAGAAAAGGGAAGTGACAATGGAGATTTTATATCCAGAGATTTTGGTAGAATCAATACGTTTGATTCTCAAGGATAATATTAAGTATGGCCAAGAACAAAGTGCAGATGATGGACCACAAGGAGCTGTTTTTTAATACTATGATAATAGGATTCAGTGATAATTGACCCATTTCCTGTGGGAGTCTGCCTATTCCCAGCCTCAGCACCACTCGCCAACAGTTTCTTTATCAACATGAATATTTTTATTGGATTTATACTATATGAAGCGCCAAGGATGCCAAACTTCTATACAAGCAACTGAGCTCCCATGCTGCACACATGTAACCCTTCAGTTTAGCAATATAGAAAGGGAAGGATTCTACAGCCTTCTTCCAGAGACCGGTTCGTTAACCTTATGTCACGAAATTCTTTCCTAGCATGGTGGGTAACAGAACTACTCACTTGCATGTTGCAGGAGGAGAAAATTCAACAAACTTCTTATCTGCTAAATACCCTTTGTAAAAGAACAACATTTTTCTACCTGAATCATACTTGTTTCTTTCTTTTACACATTCCCAGTGTTGAATCATTGTAAATCAATATGTTTCTGGTGAGAAAATAATAAATAGGTTTCAAGGAAAGCAGCTTTATCAAGATAAAAAAAGACTCCATGGAAGATGGCAGCAGTATCTTCACCCTGTGGTCAGAGTTTGGAAATAGATGAGCACTTCAAATTCTTCAATTTTTTTTTTTTTCTAATGGAGGAATGTCAGTAATTCAGAAACATTTCATTGCTGTTTGCTTAATTTTCAGAAAAACTTGGAAGAGCATGCATGGTGGCTTGGTACTCAGTTCCTATTGATTTTTGATCACAGGTGGCCATTTGGGGGTTGAGAAAAATGGTCAAAGATCCACTAATTTTGATTGTGTTGTTTGAAAGTACTCTTCCACAGTCCAAGTCAGGTTTCCATTTTTTTCTCTGAATATTCTGTGCCTGACAGTACATACACAGTATCTTGGCTCATACTGTACTGATCAGGTCTAGCATTTAATTTTTCTGCTGACAGCAAGCAAAAACTGTTCATCTCTAATGCCATTTTTCAGAATATGTAGAGAGCAGAAAGTAGACCTGACTATATGTAGGATGAGGAAGAGTTTAGGCCATCACATTTCTATTCCAGGAGAACTTTCTAAAGTTTGTTAGGCAGCTAACTGTTGTCATGTTAGATCTTTTCTTACAGTATCACCACAATTTCTCTGCTCAGTTTAAAACCTTCAGAATGAAAAGATACCAACAGATGATGCTGGAGGAACAATTGATTTCTACTGCCAGAATTAAAAACTTTCTGTTTTCCTGCTAGAAACTCTGGATTTATTTTGTTTAAAAGAAAAACAAAAGAAGAAAAAACAACCTGCCAAGGCTTCAAACTCTTGAACTGTATTTGCCACCGCTGCAAAGTCTCTACGGCACTCTTGGAGTGTGTTGTGTTTTTAACCAAAGCCAATTCTTTTGAGCACTTTTTTTCCCATGACTAGATTTTCCTTGTATTTTTCTTTGAATACATTGTCGATTATGATAATCATTTCTTTGCTCTGATTGTGAGGAGTCTCACTCAATCATTCTTTGACATTTTATTTATTTAAGTTTTCAGTATGATATGAATCAAAATAAATTTTTTATTGTAATCAAAACTGCTTATGAATGTCCATGCTTCATCTTCTTCTCATATTTCCAGCTCTAGCACTTCCTTTTTCACATAACTGTGTAATGAAGCTTTATCCCTCCTCCCTTTTTCCAACACAATTCTCCCCCATCAAGAAAGCTACCACAATTATGTTTAAAAATCCTTCCCCTCTGTCAGAGTAAATCTAAAGTTTCAGCCCCATCAAAGCAAAAATAACACTGGCAGATTGCTCTGATGAACTACTTTGTACTTGGCTTCATGTCCAGTCACAAGAAATGCACTGAAATGCAACTTCCAGGTCTAAAATGATTTTGTCAGCAAAGTAGTTTGCATAAAACTACAGATAAAAGACTACTGGGAACAGTAAGACATTCATCAGCAGCAACTGCAGCGTCCAAACAGATGGACCAACCTCAGGAGTTGGGCAAAGGACTTTGCCTATCCCATCAACTGAAGACACAAAGTACTGACAGGGGAACAGTATGACTTCAGTTCATGGCGTGGGCTCCTTTGATGGCTCAGATTCAGGACAGCAATTAAGCCCAGCAAATGAAAAGGCAGGAGAGTCCCTTGCCACCTCTAAAAATCTCGATTTTCACTTTCTTTCATACAGGCTTGCAGGGAGCAGAACTCATTACAGGTTACTATCCTCAGGCAATGGGAAATAAAATGTGTTTCACTCAGTGGAAAGTTCTGCAAGGGTAGGTCCTCCTTTGCAGAGGTACATTTCTATGTCTTCCGTTTAATTTTCTTCTCTAGACAGTGTAACAGGTTGCTTTGCTCCTGAATTTCCAAAGTAACCTTTGGTCAGCAGAACATCAAGATATCCATATGTCAACTTGACCAGACTGGTGGCACTAATACTACTAAGACAGAACATTCCCCAGAATTTCCATATAACCAGAGACTCCAGTGATAAATAGCTGCCCAACAGCTACACCACCAGATACCAGAAGGCATTTGATGGCCTCATGGGGTTCATGTCAAGACTATGGAGAGCTGTCTAAGCTTTGCAAGCTGACAGGCTTGCATTTGAAGCTTTGATTTGAATAAATAGACAAGCAAATAGACATAGGTAATGGTCAAAACTGACCAAATACAAATAGTAGAACGTCTAGAAAACCTGTCGAAATGAAAGTATTTTAGCCATTTATTTTGTCTATCAAAGTACGTGGGCCAGTGTTGAATTGGGCCAGCAATAGCTTTGGGACAACACATGTGAACAAAGCATCATTCAGCTCCTCAAAACGCAAGTCCTGGGTGCTTTTCATATCAGCATGGCAGGAGATCAGGCCTTGGGTCTGAGCATGCCCTAGAATACAAGATTAAAATAAGCTACATGCCTATAAAAGTGTATAAATTCGAAGGGTGCCAAGACCTTTCCCTAAGGCTAAGAGTAGTTAATACTGATGCCACCTGTAAGAAAATCCACTCTTTGAATGCAACTACACCTGGCTAGCTCAATTACTTGTTCTGCCCAACATCATATCCCATAGTTCCAATTTGGATCAGGTAAGATTACCACTTGTCATTGGCAGGAACTACATGATACAAAGAAAACATTAAAAAAGAGTTTCTTCAGAAGGAGTGCAGGTGAGGCAGTTTACCTGTCCTTGCAAAAGCTACTTCTGATTTAGTAGTGAAATCTGTAGTAGAAGATGAACTGTAGGAGCTGGGATGTTTTCTTAAATCCCCATTTCCAGCAGTGAATGAGCAGTCACTGTGTCACTGTGGCTGTGTTTGCTTCCATCCTTGTGTCAGCACACCACCTCCTTCCCCAAACATGTGCCATCTCTTCAGTAGTAGCTCCCTCAATGGCAGCTCCCCCAGGGCCAAGGGATGTTTGCTGGTCATCACACCTTATAAGTCTGGCCCACAGGCCTGTGGTTTTACAGCTAAGTGGGGAGATCCAACAGACATAAGTAAAGGAACCTGGAGCAATGTTTCTTATTTCCAGTGATAAGCAAAGGAACGGGAAACATTTGCATGCACACAGGATTGACAGGTCTCTGAGCAGTGAGATGTGATTAACTCATTTCAATCAGAAAAGGCAAGAAGGAGGACCCAGGCAACTACAGGCCAGTCAGCCTCACCTCCGTCCCCGGAAAAGTGATGGAACGGCTCATACTGGCCGTTGTCTCCAGGCACATGGAGGACAAGAAGGTGCTCAAGAGTAGTCAGCATGGATTCACCAAGGGAAAATCTTGCCTGACTAACCTGATAGCCTTCTATACATTTGCATGCACACAGGATTGACAGGTCTCTGAGCAGTGAGATGATGATAACATGATTCTATGAGAGCTGGAGATCTAAATGTCTCATCATCTGTTTCATTAATGGTTACGACTGATAGATGATTAGGGTCTCAAGTTAGCCAGCAATGAGTTCTCCATGTTAATGGCATCTTCCACTCAGTGACAGCGGGAAGGGAGAAGGACCCCTCCAGTCTCCAAGCTTATGGGCTCCTTGCCCTTGCATTAACCGA